TATACCCTAACAAGTACCCTAAACTTATCCCAACATACTTCCTAACATGTTGCCTAACCCAAACCATAACTGTAACCTTAACACATACCCAAACACGTACTCTAACACACACTCTAAACTTTACATGTATCCTAACAAGTACTCTAACATGTACTTCAAGTCATACATGTACCCAAACATGTGACAAAACATACCCTGTTTGCTAACATGTACTCTAAACACTAACTCATACCCTAACAAGGACCATAACACTTATTCAAAACCATGCAAATACCCTTAAATACACTCAAACTTGTACCCGAAAGTAACCCAATGTACACCCTAATATGTGCACTGACTTTAACATGTCTTTTAACCCTAACAGATTTCCCAATAGTACTCTAACACATTAAACATACTCTAGACACACATACTCTAACAAATACTCTAACACATACTCTATAAAGCATACAGGTAACCTTACACGTACCCTGAATGTACCTAACATACTCTAACTCTGACCTTTACATATACCCCAAATACCTTGACACGTACTCTAAAAAATAAATGTACCCTAACACATGACTCAAACATATCCTAACATGTACCTAACCCTAACATGTACCCTAACATGCACCTTAACATCCCCTAACAAGTACTGTAAACCACACAAGTATCCTTACATGCACCCTAACATGTACCCTCAATGTTCCCTAACATATAGCCTAACATGTGCTATAGTCTTAACATGAACCTTCACCCTAACGAATCCCCTGTGAAGTATGCTAACTCTAATACATACCATAATATGTGCCCTAACACACACTCTAACATGTACCGTAACCCTAACAAATCCCCTATCAAGTACCCTAACTCTAACACATACCCTAACATGGACTCAAACACATACTCTAATATGTGCCATTATTTTAACATGTATGTTAAACCTAACAGATTCCCAATATACTGTAATACACTAAACATGCTCTGGACACGAACCCATATGGTAACAAGTACCCATTCGCATATTCTATAAACTGTACATGTACCCTGAATGTACCCTAACAAACTACAACTTCACATTTACCCTAAACGTAGCACATACCCTAATAAATACTCTAAATTCTAATACATTGTCTAAACCATACAGCTAACCTTATGTGTATCCCAAATGTGTAACCTGACACAGGCCCTAGTCCTGACACATACATGTACCCTAAAATGTTCCCTAACATATAACCCATCACACACCCTAACTCTGGCCCATACTCACACCCTAACATGTACCCTGACTGACATCCATACGCCAGCATGTACCCTAACTCTAACACCCTATGTACCTCAACTCTAAAATTTGTGGTAAACATTAACATGTACCCTAACAAGTACCCTAACGTGTACTCTAAGTGAGCCTTACATGCACCCTAACATGTACCCAAAATGCTCCTGTGCTCTGCTCTTCCACAAGCCCTGCCCCTGGGCTGCACACTTCCCTGCTCTAGGCAGAAGGTGCTCTAGGCAGGTGCCCCGTCCATGGAGGACACTGGGTGCAGTGAGGGCTGCTTCCCACCAGAGGGCGCTCTAGGTATGTGCACTGTCCTCCTCACCACCAGGGGGTGCACTGACCACTGCTTCCCACCAGAGGGCGCTCTAGCTGTGTGCACCGTCCTCCTCAGGACCCCGGGGCCTCCCACAAGCTCTGCCCCTGGCCCGTTCACTTCTCCTTTGCCACACCCCTCCTGTGCTCTGCCTCCCCACAAGCCCCGCCTCTGGACTCGTTCTTGCCCCACCCCTATCACTCTGCCCCTCCACAAGCCCCGCCCCTGGACCACTCACTTCCATGCTCTGCTCCTCCCACAAAACCAGAGGGTGCAGTGAGCACTGATTCCCACCAGAGGGCGCTCTAGGCTTGCACACTGTCCTCCTCCTCTCAAGACCTGGGGTACATTAAGGGCTGATTCCCACCAGAGGGCGCACTAGGCAGGTGAGCTCCTTGCTGCTCTCCTCGGGACCCAGGGTGCAGTGAGAGCTGATTCCCCCAGAAGGTGTCTAGGCAGGCTCATCATTATCTTCTCCTGAAGACAGGGTGAGGGGGGTGGGGGTGCAGTGAGGCTGCTTCCCACCAGAGGGCGCTCTGGGTGTGTGCACTGTCCTTCTCAGGACTAGGGTGCAGTGAACACTGATTCCCACCAGAGGGTGCTCTGGGTGTGTGCACTGTCCTTCTCAGGACTAGGGTACAGTGAACACTGATTCCCACCAGAGGGTGCTCTAGGCATGCTCACCATCCTCCTTTCTTCAAGACCAAGGGGTGCAGTGAGTGCTGATTCCCACCAGATGGTGGTCTAGCTGTGTACACGATCCTCCTCGTCTCAGGACCAGAGGGGTGCAGTGACCACTCATCCCCACCAGATGGTGCTCTAGGTGTGTGCACTGTCCTCTTCTCAGGTCCAGGGGGTGCAGTGACCACTCCTCCCCACCAGATGGTGCTCTAGCTGTGTGCACTGTCCTCTTCTTCTCAGGACCAGAGGGGTGCAGTGACCATTGATTCCCACCAGATGGTGCTCTAGCTGTGTACATGATCCTTCTCGTCTCAGGACCAGAGGGGTGCAGTGACCGCTCATTCCCACCAGATGGTGCTCTAAGTGTGTGTACCGTCCTCTTCTTCTCTGGTCCAGGGAATGCAGTGACCAATGTTTCCCACCAGATGGTGCTCTAGGCCTGCACATGATCTTCCTCATCTCAGGACCAGAGAGGTGCAGTGACCACTGCTTCCCACCAGATGGTGCTCTAGCTGTGTACATGATCCTCCTCTTCTCAGGTCCAGGGGATGCAGTGACCAATGTTTCCCACCAGATGGTGCTCTAGGCCTGCACATGATCCTCTTCATCTCAGGACCAGAGAGGTGCAGTGACCACTGCCTCCCACCAGATGGTGCTCTAGGTATGCACACTGTCCTCAGGACCCTTGGCCTCCCACAAGCCCCGCCCCTGGACCGCTCACTTCCTGCTCCTGCCCCACCCCTGCAGTGCTCCGCTCCTCCTCCTAGCCTGTAGCTGCAGCTACTTCTGCCCAGGACACTGTAAAACTTGAAGCCCTGATGAAGTGTCCCAAAGCCTCAGTGCCAGAGACAGACTAGCCTGTCTGATCCTGCTGCAAACTGTAGTGTCCGAACCCCAGAGCAGTCTTGACCCAGTGTTACAGGGAAAGGAGTCCACCACTCAGACAGCCTCACGTAAAAAGATGACTTTAGGGCTGGGAAGGTGGCTCAGTGGTAGAGTGCTTGCCTTGCATGCCTGAGGCCCTGGGTTCAATTCCTCAGCACCACATAAGCAAAAAGAAGCCGGAAGTGGCGCTGTGGCTCAAGTGGTAGAGTGCTAGCCTTGAGCTGAAGAGCTGAGGGACAGCACCCAGGCCCAGAGTTCAGGATCCACGACCAGACCCAAAAAAAAAAAAAAAAAAAAAAATTAAAAAAAAAAGATGACTTTATTGGGGAAGTGGAGAGCTAACAGGCCAGGAATGCAGCACAGACTCAGGAGCTGAAACTGCAACCCCGAACTGCCCACAAGCTAGGGTTTTTAAAGGCAACATCCACATAGTCCAGCCTGGCCACGCACAGGTGGCCAATGGGATTGTAACACCACATAAGGGTTGCATGTTTATGTCCGTGGCCAATAGGCTACAGTCCGACTCCTAGGAACTGTTGGAACTAACCTATCATTCTGGCTTGAATTGGCGGGCAAATTTGGGGTCTCCACACAAAGCAAGTGGATATTCTTACTCTTGGGGTTTGTATATTCTAGAAACATGATGTCATATAGCCCTGCATCCTTGAAGCTGGGGGCTGTTACAAAGACAGCTACAGGAGCTTTATTACAGAGATAGCTACAGGAGGATACACAATGTGCACACCGAGGCATCAACTCCCTTGAAGCAGGAGGCAATCGATCACGGGGTGGGATGCACAACGTTGCACGGCAGGCACTGCTCTAATTGGGAAGGCTATGACATAGGGCGTAAGTCCGTGTGAAATATGTTTTAAGGTCTCCCTTCATGGCCTCTGTTTTTAGTAAAGGATCAATTTCTCGGCTTAATTTTCCTCACACAGTCTGGGACCTTAACAGTCTAGGAGACCCTTCGCCCCACACCAGCTCTCAATGAATTATCTCAGTGTCAGCTCAGGCCAGCAGTCACAGCCAGCAGTGATCTGCTGGGTGCCAGGAAGGAGATGGGGCCCCAGAGGAGCCACGAGGTCCGTAGGGAGGTAGAGGCTGCCGGCAGAGGCAGGAACATTGTAATGGGTCGTGCTCCCAAAGTTCATATATGGATGCTCTCATCACCCGGTACCTGGGAATGTGACCTTATATGGAAATGGGCTTTTGGCAGGAGATCAACTCCAGTTCCTGTTGTTATTGTGCCCCTACAAGGGAGAAATTGGGTCCCAGAAATGCACCCAGGGATGATCCTCTGCAGAGATGTCACTCTGCTCTCACAGGGTCAGAAGCTGAGAGAAGACCTAGAACTCACTGTGCCTTGTACCTCCTGAGGGAATGTGGCCCAGAAGACACTCATTCCATGCTGCTAAACTTCAGAGCTATGAACACAGATCTCTAAACCACCCAGTCTGCAGTGGTGTGTCAGAGCAACCCTAGGGAAATAACACACAAATGTTCTGCTCTTTCCATGATATATATAGATATACATGGGAAGGGGTCGTGGGTGCTGAACTCTGGGCCTGGGCGCTGTCCTTCAGCTCTGCAGCTCAAGGCTAGCACTCAACCATGTGAGCCACAGCATCACTTCCAGCTTTTTCTGCTTATGTGGTGCTGAGGAATCGAACCCAGGGCCTCATGCATGCAAGGCAAGCACTATACCACTAAGCCACCTTCCCAGCCCTCAAACATCACTTTTAACATAAAACATCTTATCTAAACCATTAACAGTGTAAAAAATAAACATAAAAAGAGCTGGATCACAAGAATCATGCATACTTTCCTCTATCAGTTCCAGTATTTAGTATTTAATGAGTATCATGACAAAACCACCAGAATTTAGATCCTCTGTATGTGCGAGATTGTTATATACTCTTATTACCATTTTGCTAAAAAAGAAATTTGTTTTCAGATCTTGATGAACAAAATAAAGCAGACGTAATTCATCTCTAGAAGTCTACCTTAGTATATAAAATATCTTTTATTTAGAATAGTAAAAATGGAAAAAGAGAAAATAAATCATGATGAAAAAACAGATGCAGAAAGTTCACTGGACTTTTCTGACCACTTCAACCAACTTGAACTGTTGAAAACACATGGACACCCCATTCCCACTCAAAGTCTGGTTAGGCAATTCTGATGAAGATGAGGAACAAGATGAAAAAAGTGAAGAGTGGTATCTATTGCAAGAAAAAAAAATGGAGAAGGATCCAAGCAAATTGCTTCTTTGGGCTGCCCAAAATAATCCAGTAAAAAATAAATTAAGAAGCCAAGGACCATTACATAGTAGGAGAGTCATCGGTTTTATAGTTAGAAGATCTTTTCCCCAACCCCCATTTGAACTGTATCTTTAGGCTTACACAATTTTTGAACCTCTAGTTTCTTGTCTTTGAAGCTGCCATCACAATATTTGCCTGCTTATTCAGGTTAATGAGAATCAAATGAAGCAACGTACAAAAAAAGCACAAATTAAGGTATCTTAATATTATTTAAGGTTAATTACAAACCTCATAAGCAGTTGTCTTATCATGTATTTTTTGGGGGGTTCCAGTCATGGGACCTGAACTCTGGGCCTGGGCGCTGTGTCTCAGCTCTTCAGCTCAAGGCTAGCGCTCTACCACTTGAGCCACAGAGCCACTTCCGGCGTTTTTTCTTTTTGCTTATGTGGTGCTGGGGAATCGAACCCAGGACCTCATGCATGCAAGGCAAGCGCTCTACCACTGAGCCACCTTCCCAGCCCCTTATCATGTATTTTTAAATCCTTTATATTTCAAATCAGTTATAGCTAATCATTATCGTCTAGTTAAGTACCATTTAAGACAGGGAGGATGTTAACACTAAAAACCAGTCCTCACATATCCCTATAAAAGCATTTTACATTTTGTGGAACTTTTCAATGTGCACTGCAATGTACTAGAGGTTAATAGATCAGGGGCTGGGAAGGTGGCTCAGTGGTAAAGCGCTTGCCTTGCATGCCTGAGGCCCTGGGTTCGATTCCTCAGCACCACATAAGCAAAAAGAAAAAAGCTGGAAGTGGCGCTGTGGCTCAAGTGGTAGACCACTAGTCTTGAGCTGAAGAGCTGAGGGACAGCGCCCAGGCCCAGAGTTCAGGCCCCACAACTGGACCCAAAAAAAAAAAAAAAAAAAAAAAAGATCAAACTGAAAACCACTTCCTAAAAACATGTTTATAAAGTTGTATTTAAAAGGAATTGAACCCTTAAATCCCTGAATTTTTCTTGTTCTTATTTTATTCTTCTGTTAAGAGAAGTTTCATTTTTTAACTTCTATATGCCATGTATATTGGTATAGTAATCCTTTCATAAAACATGAATCACTTTTTTGCAGATGAAAATTATTAAATATAGTTATAGTCTGCATTATTTCTCTCTGGTCAAAACTTTAGGAAATAGGCCCTAATTGAATCTTAAATAAAAATATGGTTTGATATTAGATAATCACATTCAAAAATAACTAACACATGTTCATTATGAAGTTACTTTCCTCTTCTCCAAATACAGAAATCATAAATTGTTTTTATTCTAAAGTCATCTGATAACAAATTTTGGGGGTTGGTTTGTTTTTACTTGAGTCTAAGGCCACAAGTCAGACTAGGAAAGTGGCTGAGTGGTAGAGCGCTTGCCTTGCATGCATGAGGCCCTGGGTTCGATTCCTCAGCATGACATAAGCAGAAAAAGCTGGAAATGGTGCTGTGGCTCAAGTGGTAGAGCGCTAGCCTTGAGCTGAAGAGCTGAGGGACAGCACCCAGGCACCGAGTTCAGGCCCCATGACCAGAAAAAAAAAAAAGCCACAAGTTAGTTTAATTTTCTTTTTGCTTTGAGTTGAATTATATACGTGTGTGTGTGTGTGTGTGTGTGTGTGTGTGTGTGTGTGTATGTATATATGTATCTTTCTTTCTCAGCTTACTACAGTGCGGAGACTACTTTCTGAAAAGGCCACTCATGTGAATACTAGGGATGACAATGAGTATACCCCTCTTCATCAGGAAGCCTACAGTGGACACTTAGACATTATCCATGAGTTGGTGGCTCAAGCAGCAGATATTCATGCAATAACTGTGGATGGCTGTATGGCCCTGCACAGTGCTTGTAAGTGGAATAACACCAGAGTGGCTTCCTTCTTACTTCAGCATGATGCAGATATCAATGCCCAAACTAAAGGCCTCTTGACCTCCTTGCACCTTGCTGCTGGGAATACAGATAGCAGAGATACTCTGGAATTCCTTCTGATGAACCACTATATCAAACCAGGTCTGAGGAACAACTTGGAAGAAACTGCATTTGATATTGCCAGAAGGACAAGCATTTATCACTACCTCTTTGAAGTTGTGGAAAGTGGTACAAATTCTTCTTCAGTCTTAATGGTTTGGTTAATTTTCTTAAATTTCAAAAATGCCAGTCCATCCTTTGTGTCAGATACAAAATATTTTTACAATACAAAGTAGGTATCAGTGTCTTACTGTAAAAATTCATGGGTTCTCATGGTATTCTTCCAAATGAATTGCCTGACTTCGATATCCAAATGTACTCAAGAGTTGTTTGGAAATATCTTCAATGATTTCTGTAGAGTTTGTGATTTTTTAATTAGAATTAATTTTAACTTGTCTGTTGAAATGAGTATTACAGAAACTAAAGATATTTCTGGTGTTGGTCTGAAAAAAGTATATTTTAATATTCTATACCTTGGGTCTTCATTGAATATTTAGTGTATTGGCATATATTTTTATCAGACAAGATAATTCAGAATTTAAAACCTTTTAACTGTAGTGGTGCAGTTATCTTCTTTATGTTGCTTTCATTTTATACCAGAAAACTAATTATTAGTGACTTGAATGTTTACAAGTTTAAAACAATTCTCTTTTGTTTTTAGAACATAAAAAGATTTTAGGAAAGCGGTTAGCCAGGTGTTTAACCCATGACTGTGATCGTGTTCCCCCCCAGCTCCCGCCCCTGTCCGCCCCTCCCCGCAGTGCTCTGCTCCTCCTCCTCCTCGCCTGAAGCTGCCACTACTCCTGCCCAGGACACAGGGACACGTCAAGCCCTGAGGAGGTCCCAGCGCCTCCGCGCCGTGAGACGGACTGGCCTCTGTGTGGACCTGCTCCAGACTTCGGTGCCCGAACCCAGAGCAGTCCCGTCCTGCGATCACCGAATCCTTGAACTCGGGGCCTGGGCGCTGCCCCTCAGCTCTTCAGCTCAAGGCTGGCGCTCTACCGCTTGAGCCACAGCGCCACTTCCGGTTTTCTGGTGGGTCATTGGAGACAAGAGTCTCACGGACTTTCCTGCCCAGGCTGGCTTTGAACTGTGATCCTCAGATCTCAGCCTCCTGAGTGGCTAGCATGACAGTTATAGTGTCAACATCGGCAGTCCTTACCTGCAAAGCCTTAATCGCTGACAATGCCGAAATTATTCTTCCACCAAACATGCAAATCTCTATAACTTGATATCCCAAAAGTCGTTGATATGAAATTCTTCTTCACCTACTAATTAGTAGGGAATGACTGTTCATCCTCACTCAGTGCCATGGAAAGTGCTTATTTTCCACGTGTTCTCTTCTCTTCACCCCATTCTAACCCATCAGCCTGACTTTTCACCACACTAAATGATTACACTCAGTTCACCTCACCTATCCAAACAACCCTTAACATTAAAAAGTAGGTGGCTCAGTGGCAGAGCGCTTGCCTTGCACGCCTGAGGCCCTGGGTTCGATTCCTCAGCACCACATAAGCAGAAAGAAAACAGAAGTCCCGCAGGGCTGGCAGAGCCCCTTGCTCTCGCTGGCTGACGGCGCAGGGCCTCCTCCTGCCGGCGGAGGCCGGTCAGCAGACCCTTTGCATGGGCACGCGGCCAGCCCACAGGCGAGGGCTGGGCTCCGCTGCGGCCCCCCGCAGTCCCCCAAGCCCCCCACTACCAGCGCTACGTCTGTCAGGATCTTCCACCCACTGGGGGAAAACACGAGGAGCCCTGGTTAACACGAGGGTGAGGAAATTAGAAACAGGATAGAACTTCTGCTGCTGCTCAAAGAAATTGGCCACCTAGAGCCATGCACGTGAAACAGAGTTATTGTTAGTGTCCGCGGGGGGAAGGACACGGGGGCGGGGGAGCGGGCACGGCGGGGCGGGGGGAGCGGGCGGGGCGGGGCGGGGGGAGCGGGCGGGGCGGGGCGGGGGGAGCGGGCGGGGCGGGGCGGGGGGAGCGGGCAGGGCGGGGCGGGGGGAGCGGGCGGGGCGGGGCGGGGGGAGCGGGCGGGGCGGGGCGGGGGGAGCGGGCGGGGCGGGGCGGGGGGAGCGGGCGGGGCGGGGCGGGGGGAGCGGGCGGGGCGGGGCGGGGGGAGCGGGCGGGGCGGGGCGGGGGGAGCGGGCGGGGCGGGGGGAGCGGGCGGGGCGGGGGGAGCGGGCGGGGCGGGGCGGGGGGAGCGGGCGGGGCGGGGCGGGGGGAGCGGGCGGGGCGGGGCGGGGGGAGCGGGCAGGGCGGGGCGGGGCGGGGGGAGCGGGCACGGCGGGGCGGGGGGAGCGGGCAGGGCGGGGCGGGGGGAGCGGGCAGGGCGGGGCGGGGGGAGCGGGCGGGGCGGGGGGAGCGGGCGGGGCGGGGCGGGGGGAGCGGGCGGGGCGGGGCGGGGGGAGCGGGCGGGGCGGGGCGGGGGGAGCGGGCGGGGCGGGGGGAGCGGGCGGGGCGGGGCGGGGGGAGCGGGCGGGGCGGGGGGAGCGGGCGGGGCGGGGGGAGCGGGCGGGGCGGGGCGGGGGGAGCGGGCGGGGCGGGGCGGGGGGGAGCGGGCGGGGCGGGGGGAGCGGGCGGGGCGGGGGGAGCGGGTGGGGCGGGGCGGGGGGAGCGGGCGGGGCGGGGGGAGCGGGCGGGGCGGGGGGAGCGGGCGGGGCGGGGCGGGGGGAGCGGGCGGGGCGGGGCGGGGGGAGCGGGCAGGGCGGGGCGGGGGGAGCGGGCAGGGCGGGGCGGGGCGGGGGGAGCGGGCGGGGCGGGGGGAGCGGGCGGGGCGGGGGGAGCGAGCGGGGCGGGGCGGGGGGAGCGGGCGGGGCGGGGCGGGGGGAGCGGGCAGGGCGGGGCGGGGGGAGCGGGCGGGGCGGGGGGAGCGGGCAGGGCGGGGCGGGGGGAGCGGGCGGGGCGGGGCGGGGCGGGGGGAGCGGGCGGGGCGGGGCGGGGGGAGCGGGCGGGGCGGGGCGGGGGGAGCGGGCGGGGCGGGGCGGGGGGGAGCGGGCGGGGCGGGGGGAGCGGGCAGGGCGGGGCGGGGGGAGCGGGCGGGGCGGGGGGAGCGGGCGGGGCGGGGCGGGGGGAGCGGGCGGGGCGGGGCGGGGGGAGCGGGCGGGGCGGGGCGGGGGGAGCGGGCGGGGCGGGGGGAGCGGGCGGGGCGGGGCGGGGGGAGCGGGCGGGGCGGGGCGGGGCGGGGGGAGCGGGCGGGGCGGGGCGGGGGGAGCGGGCGGGGCGGGGCGGGGGGAGCGGGCGGGGCGGGGGGAGCGGGCAGGGCGGGGCGGGGGGAGCGGGCGGGGCGGGGGGAGCGGGCGGGGCGGGGCGGGGGGAGCGGGCGGGGCGGGGCGGGGGGAGCGGGCAGGGCGGGGCGGGGGGAGCGGGCGGGGCGGGGGGAGCGGGCGGGGCGGGGCGGGGGGAGCGGGCGGGGCGGGGCGGGGCGGGGGGAGCGGGCGGGGCGGGGCGGGGGGAGCGGGCGGGGCGGGGCGGGGGGAGCGGGCACGGCGGGGCGGGGGGAGCGGGCACGGCGGGGCGGGGGGAGCGGGCGGGGCGGGGGGAGCGGGCGGGGCGGGGGGAGCGGGCGGGGCGGGCCGGGGGGAGCGGGCGGGGCGGGGCGGGGGGGAGCGGGCGGGGCGGGGCGGGGGGAGCGGGCGGGGCGGGGCGGGGGGAGTGGGCGGGGCGGGGGGAGCGGGCGGGGCGGGGCGGGGGGAGCGGGCGGGGCGGGGCGGGGGGAGCGGGCGGGGCGGGGGGAGCGGGCGGGGCGGGGGGAGCGGGCGGGGCGGGGGGAGCGGGCACGGCGGGGCAGGGGGGAGCGGGCGGGGCGGGGGGAGCGGGCGGGGCGGGGCGGGGGGAGCGGGCGGGGCGGGGCGGGGCGGGGGGAGCGGGCAGGGCGGGGCGGGGGGAGCGGGCGGGGCGGGGCGGGGCGGGGGGGAGCGGGCGGGGCGGGGCGGGGGGAGCGGGCGGGGCGGGGCGGGGGGAGCGGGCGGGGCGGGGCGGGGGGAGCGGGCAGGGCGGGGCGGGGGGAGTGGGCGGGGCGGGGCGGGGGGAGCGGGCGGGGCGGGGCGGGGGGAGCGGGCGGGGCGGGGCGGGGGGAGCGGGCGGGGCGGGGCGGGGGGAGCGGGCGGGGCGGGGGGAGCGGGCGGGGCGGGGGGAGCGGGCACGGCGGGGCGGGGGGGAGCGGGCGGGGCGGGGGGAGCGGGCGGGGCGGGGGGGGAGCGGGCACGGCGGGGCGGGGGGGAGCGGGCGGGGCGGGGCGGGGGGAGCGGGCGGGGCGGGGGGAGCGGGCGGGGCGGGGCGAGCGGGCGGGGCGGGGGGAGCGGGCGGGGCGGGGCGGGGGGAGCGGGCGGGGCGGGGCGGGGGGAGCGGGCAGGGCGGAGAAATCTCCACTTGGAGAAATCTCCACTTGGAGGAATCTCCAGCTCCAGGCCACTCCCTTCCCGTGAATTAGACCAGAGGTCCGGCAGTGCTGGGACTGTGGAACACAGACTCCCAGGGGTCCATGGCTTGTCTGTGGTTATGGGCCTAATATGGGCCTGTCAGCAAGGGTGGATGGCCATGGGGCTGTCCACAGCTGCATACAGATGGCCAAGTGAGTAGAGTTGATCTTCAGAGTATCCTCTTGTCATTTAGGAACATCTAATGGTGATGTTAGGGTTAGCTCTTGAGACATTGCTCTTCAATGTGCTTGGTTCCTTGTCCAGGTTTGAGGAGTTCCTGCAACGCAAGTGGTCCTCTGAGAAGTACTTTGGTCTGGAAGACTGTGAGGTGCTGATCATGGCGTGGACTATGTGATCATGGGCATGCCACACAGGTACTGCCAGGCTTGTTGCAGGCACAGGAGTGAGGTACAGCCCTAACCCCTAACCCTAACCCCTAACCCTTAACCCTAACTCCTAATCCGAACCCTAACCCCAACCCTAACCCCAAACCCTAACCCTAACCCCTAACCCTAACCCTAACCCCAACCCCTAACCCTAAATCCCTAATCCCTAACCCTAACCTTACCCCCACCCCTAGCCCTACCCCTAACCTAACCCTACCCCTAACCCTACCCTTACCCCTACCCCTCATCCTCACCCTGACCCTAACCCCTAACCCTAACCCTAGCAATCCTAACCATAACCCTTACCCCTACCCCTCATCCTCACCCTCATCCTCACCCCTAACCCTAACAACCCTAACCTTAACCCCTAACCCCAACCCCAAACCCTAACCCCTACCCTAACCTCTAACCCTAACTCTAACCCTAACCCTCTAACCCTCACCCTCTAACCCTCACCCTCTAACCCTCACCCTCACCCCAACCCCAACCCCTAACCTCTAACCCTAACCCCTAACCCTAACCCCAACTCCTAACCCCAACCCCAACTCCTAACCCTAACACGTGCCAGAAGTTCCCCCAACACATTTGTTAACGCTAACCTTAACATATTCCCAAACCCTAACTAGTTCACAAACACTAACTAGTTCTCTAATGCTAACTAGTTCTCTAAGAAGTTCCCTAACACATTCGTTAACCCTACTCTTAACATATTCCCAAACCCTACCTAGTTCTCTAACTAGTTCTCTAATGCTAACTAGTTCTCTAACAGAACATGTTCCCTAACATTCCCTACCAAGTTCCCTAATACTTTTCATAACCCTGACCTTAACATATTCCCAAAGCCTAATCTATTCCCAAATCCTAACTAGTTCTGTAACTAGTTCTCTAACACTAACATGTTCCCAAACACCTTCCAGGAATTCCCAAACCCTAATCTATTCCTAAATCCTAGCTTTCTAACTCTAGTTCTCTAACAGTAACATGTTCCCTAACACATTCCAGAAGTTCCCTAACACATCTGTTAACCCTAACCTTAACGTATTCCCAAACACTAACTAGTTCCCAAACCCTAACTAGTTCTCTAATGCTAACTAGTTCTCTAACATGTTCCCCAACACATTCCAGAAGTTCCCTAACACATTCATTAACCCTAACCTTAACATATTCCCAAACTCTTGTTCCCAAACTCTAATTCTCTAATGCTAACTAGTTCTCTAACATGTTCCCTAACAAGTTGCAGAAGTTCCCTAACACATTCGTTGACCCTACTCCTAACATTCCCATTCCCAAACCCTAACTAGTTCTCTAACACTAACTAGTTCTCTAACTCTAACATTCCCTAACAAGTTCCCTAAGCCTAATACATTCCCTATTCCTAACACATTCCCTAACCCTAACATCCCCAAAAACTAACTAGTTCTCCACCCCCTAACTACTTGTCTAATGCTAACATGTTCCCTAACACATTCACAAGTTCCCTAATCCTGACATTTCCTTATCTTATTCCCAAACCCTACTAGTTCTCTAATCCTAACTTGTTCCCTAACAAGTTCTCTAACCCTAACCTTCCCTAACCATAACCATAACATTGCCTAATCCTAACACATTCCCTAACCCTAAAATCAACATTTCCCTAACTCTAACTAGTTCTCTAACCCTAATGTGACCTAATACTTTCCCTAACAAATTTCCTAACCTCAACACATTCCCTAATCCTAACTTTAACACATTCACAAACTCAAACTAAGTAGCTCTCTAGCGCTAAAAGGAGTTCCCTCACACATTCCCTAAGAAGTTCCCCAAGGTTAAAACATTCATTAACCCTAACCCTAATCCTAACCTTAACATTTTCCCAAACCCAATCTAGTTCTCTAACCCTAAGTAGTTCTCTAACATGTTCCCTAACAAGTTCCCTACCTCTTACATATTCCCTAACTCTAATCCTAATCCTAATACATTTCCTAACCTTGACATATTCTTAAACTCTAACTAGATCTCTATCCCTAATTCCCTAACACTAACACATTCCCTAACATGTTCCCTAACCCTAATCCTAACAAATTCCTGAACCCTAACCTTATCATATTCCCAAACCCTAACTAGTTCTCTAACTTTCGAACACATGTGCCCTAACAAGTTGCCTAACACATTCCCTAACCCTAACCCTAATCCCAACACATTCCCTAATGCTAACTTTAACATATTCCCAAACCCTAACTAGTTCTCTAACCCTAACTGGTTCTGTAATGCTAACATGTTCCCTAACCCTAACATTCCCTAACCCTAACTCTAATGCTAATACATTCTCTAACGTTAACAGGTTTCCTAACCCTGGAATGTTCCCTAACCCTACTCGTAGCATGTTCTTTAACCCTAACCATAGCATGTTGCCCAAGCCTAAGTAGTTCCCTAACCAAAATATGTTCCTAACTCCTAGTTTGCTCAACAAGAACAGGTTTCTAAACCCTAACTTTAACTAGTTTCCTAACCCTAGAATGTTGCCAAACCCTAACACATTACACTGTAACATGTTCATAAACCCTAACTACTTCCATAACCCCAACAGGAACACATTCCCAAACCATAATTAGTTCCCTCACCCTAACCAGAACACGTTCACAAACTAGTTCCCTAACTCTAACAGGTTTCTTAACCCTAGAATAGTCCCTAATCCTAACCATAACATGCTCTGTAACCCTAACCCTAACCCAAACCTTAACTACTGCCCTCACCCTGACCAAAACAGGTTCCCTATCTAACATGTTCCCTAACCCTGTTACACGCTTCCTAATCCTAACACGATCCATCATTCTACCCTTAACATAGCCCCTAGCCCTACCAGCTTCCCTAACACATATCCTAACTCCTAACTCTAACACATACCTTAACATGTGCCTTCGCTCTAACATGTATCCTAACCTAACACATACCATAACCCTAACCCCTACATTCCATGTACCCTAACATATATCCTAACATATAAGACATACTCAAACATGTGTCCTAACAGGTACCCTTACCCTAATCCCCTAACTCTAACATAGACCCATAACACGTACCATGGCATGTACTCTAAACACTAACATCCTATCAAGTACCTTAAGTACTGTAACACTTACTCTTACATGTACTTTGAACCATACAAGGGACTCTTAAATGGACCCTACCATGTACCACAAACATACACTAATGCATGTCCTAACCATGAGATAAACCTTAGCAGATACCCTAATATATACCCTAACCATAGAACATATTCTGACCACTATCATATATTATAAACCTTACATACACCCTAACACGTACCCTAAACTCATCTCAACACACATCCTATCATGTTGTCTAATGCAAACCGTAATGGTAACCCTAACTTGTACACTAAATCTAACACATGCCCTAACAACTACTCTAACATGGACTTCAAGTCATGTGTGTACAATTACATGTACAATAATGTGCACCAAACATGCCCTAACACATACTCTACTCTTATCCTAACAAGTACCCTAACATGTACTCAAAACCGCAGAAGTGCCCTTACATGCACTGTAATTTGTACCCCAAAGTAACCTAATATGTACCCAAATACGTGCCCTAAATTTAACACAAATCTCTACTACAACACATTTTCCAATGGTATTTACACTCTAACACATTAAAACATGCTCTAGACACTAAACATATGGTAACAACTACCCTAACGTGTACTCTATAAACCATACAGGTAAACCTTTACATGCACCATGAATGTACCCTAACATACCCTAACCCTGACCTTAATATATATGATAACATGTACACTAAGAACATTCATGTACTGTAACAGTTGGGACCCTAATACATACTGTAAAAGATACAAATACCCATACATATATCCTTACATGTACCTCAAACATGCACTAACCCAAACATGTACCTCAACCATGACATGTAGCTTAACATGCACCCTAATGTACTCCAACAAGTACTCTAATCCACACAGGTTCCCTTACATGCACCTAACATGTGCCATTACACATACAATAACCTTAACAAAGCATGCTTAAGGTAGGCCCAAATTTTCAGAAAGAGATAAATAGCACTCAATCCCCACCCATATCCTCACATGTGTATGCAATTGCAGTTGTGTGAACAGAATGAAAGCACAGCTGACTGCTCATTCCAGGCTCCAGGCTCCCCCAAAGTTAGGCACAGCGGGGCCCACCACATCAATGATGGTAAGGGAAGGACTCTAAGCTAAACAATCCCACAACTGCTGAACTGGCTACACATACACCGTAAAACCATACAGATTTGGAATCATGAATACTAACACATATTTCAAATGTGCCTTGACTCTAACTCAACTCAAAATCCTAAGAGATATCCTAACATGTGCTCATCCTAACACGTACCTTAACACTAACATGTACCCAAACCCTAATAAGTACCCTACCACATACTCAAAACCATACAGGTATCAATTCATGAACACTCACATGTAACTCAAACATGCCCTAACTCAAACCCAAATCATAACCCTATGAGATACCCTAACATGTGTGATAATCTAATAGATAACCTAACATGAACCCTAACATGTGCTCTAACCCTAACTCACGCCATAATCCAATCCTAATGTACATATCCTACCACATACTCTAACATGTAGCCTGACAATTGTATACCATACACCTCATACCCTAAACACATACTCTAAAAATTAACAATTATCCTAACATGTACTCTAAACTCTGCAAGTATCCTTACATGTTTCCTAACATATGCCCTAATAAGTACACTCACATGTACTCTTACCAAACATATACCTTAATATACCCTAACAGGTGCACTAACCTTAAACAAAACCATAATCCCAACCCATACTCTACCATGTGTCTTAACTCTATCATATGATCTAACGTGTACCCAAACACATACTCAAAGTATTAACAGCC